GGAAAGGAGGAGAGAGGTAGAGGGAGAGTAGGAGAGAGGTAGAGGGAAAGGAGGAGAGAGATAGACGGAAAGGAGGAGAGAGATAGAGGGAAAGGAGGAGAGAGATAGAGGGAAAGGAGGAGAGAGATAGAGGGAAAGGAGGAGAGAGATAGAGGGAAAGGAGGAGAGAGATAGAGGGAAAGGAGGAGAGAGGTAGAGGGAAAGGAGGAGAGAGATAGAGGGAAAGGAGGAGAGAGGTAGAGGGAAAGGAGGAGAGAGATAGAGGGAAAGGAGGAGAGAGATAGAGGGAAAGGAGGAGAGAGGTAGAGGGAGAGTAGGAGAGGGTAGAGGGAAGGAGGAGAGAGGTAGAGGGAAAGTAGGAGAGGGTAGCGGGAACGGAGGAGAGAGGTAGAGGGAAGGAGAGACGAGAGGTAGAGGGAAAGGAGGAGAGGGTGTGGAGGGAACGAGGACGAGAGTGGAGGGAAAGGAAGGCGGGCAGGAGATGAGGTGGAGGGAAGGAGGAGAGAGGGGAGGGAAAGGAGGGAGAGAGGTAGAGGGAAAGGAGGAGAGAGATAGAGGGAAAGGAGGAGGAGGTAGAGGGAAAGGAGGAGAGAGGTAGAGGGAAAGGAGGAGAGTGATAGAGGGAAGGAGGAGAGAGGTAGAGGGAAAGGAGGAGAGAGGTAGAGGGAAAAGTAGGAGAGAGGTAGAGGGAAAGGAGGAGAGAGGTGGAGGAAAATGAGGAGAGAGGTGGAGGGAAAGGAGAACAGAGGTAGAGGGAAAGGAGGATGAGGAAGATAGAGGGAAAAAAGGGGAGGAGAGAGTGTAGCGGAAAGGAGGAGAGCGATGGGGAAAGGAGGAGAGAGATAGAGGGATAGGAGGAGCGAGGTAGAGGGAAAGGAGGAGAGAGGTTAGAGGGAGAGTAGGAGAGAGGTAGAGGGAAAAGGAGGCGGAGATAGAGGGGAAAGGAGGAGAGAGGTAGAGGGAAAGGACGGAGAGAGGTAGAGGGAAAGGAGGAGAGAGGATAGAGGGAGAGTAGGAGAGCGGTAGAGGGAAAGGAGGAGCGCGATAGACGGAAAGGAGGAGCCCAGAGATAGTGGGAGAGGAGGAGAGAGATAGAGGGAAAAGGAGGCGGAGATATGAGGGAAGGAGGAGAGAGATAGAGGGAAGGAAGGAGAGAGATAGAGGGGAAAGGTGGAGAGAGGTAGGGGAAAGGAGGAGAGAGATGAGGGAAAGGAGGAGAGAGGTAGAGGGAAAGGAGGAGAGAGATAGAGGGAAAGGAGGAGAGAGATAGAGGGAAAAGGAGGGAGAGTGGTTAGAGGAGAGTAGGAGCGAGGTAGAGGGAAAAGGAGGAGAGAGGTAGAGGGAAAGGAGGATGAGAGATAGAGGGAAAGGAGGAGAGAGATAGAGGGAAAGGAGGAGAGAGATAGAGGGAAAGGAGGAGAGAGTAGAGGGAAAGGAGGAGAGAGATAGAGGGACAAGGAGGAGAGAGATAGAGGGAAAGGAGGAGAGAGGTAGAGGGAAGGAGGAGAGAGATAGAGGGAAGAGGAGGAGATAGAGGGGAAAGGAGGAGAGAGATAGAGGGAAAGGAGGAGAGAGATAGAGGGAAAGGAGGAGAGAGATAGAGGGAAAGGAGGAGAGAGAGAGAGGGAAAGGAGGAGAGAGATAGGAGGGAAGGAGGAGAGAGGTAGAGGAAAGGAGGAGAGAGTAAGAGGGAAAGGAGGAGAGAAGATTAGAGGAAAGGAGGATGAGAGGTAGAGGGAAAGGAGGAGAGAGGTAGAGAGAGATAGAGGGAAAGAGGAGAGAGATAGAGGGAAGAGTGGAGAGAGATAGAGGGAAAGGAGGAGGAGAGTAGAGGGAGAGTAGGAGAGAGGTAGAGGGAAAGGAGGAGAGAGTAGAGGGAAAGGAGGAGAGAGATAGAGGGAAAGGAGGAGAGAGATAGAGGGAAAGGAGGAGAGAGATAGAGGGAAAGGAGGAGAGAGGTAGAGGGAAAGGAGGAGAGAGATAGACGGAAAGGAGGAGAGAGGTAGAGGGAAAGGAGGAGAGAGATAGACGGAAAGGAGGAGAGAGGTAGAGGGAAAGGAGGAGAGAGATAGAGGGAAAGGAGAACAGAGGTAGAGGGAAAGGAGGAGGAGGAGGAGGAGGAAGTGGGAAGGATAAAGAATGTTTGATAACGAAAATATCAACATTTACACAGGAAAAGTAGAATAAGAAAAAGAGAAAGAGAGAGAGAGATGGAGAGAAAAAAAGAAAAAGAGAAAGAAAGAAGAAAAAGAGCTAGAAAAGAAGAAAAGAAAAAGAGAGAGAGAAAAGAAGAAAAAGAGAAAGATAGAAAGAAAAGAAGAAAAAGAGAAAAAAGAGAGAGAAAATAAGTAAAGAAACAGAAAACGAGAAAAGAAGAAGAGAAAAAGAGAGAAACGAAGAAAGAGAGAGAGGAAAAAAACAGAAAGTGAGAGAGAGAGAAAGAAAATTGAAATAAAAAGCCAAACAAACTGGCCTTTCCCGCCGTGAGCTCAGGCGACGC